TTGCGATCACCATATTCAACACAGTAAAATCCGTGAATCTTCGATCCAAACTTCAATGTGTTGCGATCATGATATTCAACACTGTAAAATCCGTGAATCTTCCATTCAAACTTCAATGTGTTCGGATTACGATATTCAACACCGTAAAATTCGTGAATCTTTGATCCAAACCACTCAGAGGCAATGGAGCTTGTGTCAATGCAGTTAAACCATTAAACCCGCTTTTAAAACCAGGTCACGCGGAGTTAATACACATTAGCTAATAGTATAGTTTAGATAATTTAATTTAAGTTCTTTTGGTCGCCAAAAACCATTAACCAGCACTGTCAGCTACTACTCACCACCATAAAAACTCACAAAGTCACTTGAACTGATATTATATATAACTCCATGCACGGCGTCGCCATCAAGCAATATGTCATATATAGGATGATGTCCTTTTCTATTGATTGATTGATTAAATTAATTAAAACGTTTCAAAAAACTTTCTCGTCTTCTAGGACAGTTGTTATAACTTTTGAGACAACTTTTCCGTTTGCTCATTTTTACGACCTTTTTAAAAAAAATATATACCCGTCTTCCAATCCAACTTTTTGAACTTCTCAGACAACTTTCCGGCTTTCTCAATTGATATTTCGAACCTTTTAAAACGCCTTTCTTCATTAAAGGCAACAATTCCAACTTTGAAGACAAATGTTTTTTTTATATTTCCAATTTCCCGCATTTCAAGGCAACTCATAGCCAACTTTGCATAAAACTTTTCCGTCCTTGAATTGAGTATTCAAACTTTTCAAGCAATTTTCCTGCCCTCTAATATTATCATCTTTGCGGAAGACATTTTTCTGTTGTCTTCACAACTATTAGAACACTTCAAATACAACTTTTCCGTTTTCAGGGGCAATTTACTAAAAATTACAAACTGCATTTCTGTAACTCAACTTATATTTCGAACTTTTCAAAGAACTTTCCCTGTTTCAAATAAATTACATTGTACCTGCTTATCAAAGTATCATTCCCAACTTTGCAGACATCATTTTGGTCTTTACAATTTATAATTCTAACTTTCCAATTTTATCTAGCGACGAGCAAATATGTATTGATGTGAGTTTTTTTTTTTTAGTGTTAATAATCACGGATTTTACTCCGAAGTAAGCTGTCTGACCATAGTTATATAATCGACTCTGTATTGTACGCATTCCATAACGGTGTGAAGAGGAAATGCCCGACAAACAAGTAAAAACTATTGTCTGGGCTCTTCCATTAGAGCGCCATCTATGGTGATAATGCCATTAAATAATATTGCACCTTGAAAAAATGGAATTTCTCAGCGATGTCACTATGGTTTAGATGATCTGGCAAATGTAATATATATATAACACTTCGCTAACATTATAAAGGTTAAAACAGCAGCAGACGAAGGGATGTGCACATAAAATATAACTACAACTATAGAATAAAGGCATGGTGATTACAGAAAAAAAAAAATTGCTTGCCCAGTATTCTGGTAACATTTTTTTTTCATAGTATACTTCAATAAACATTTTGAAAATGCATTTTTACTGAATAAGGTCGATAGCCCATAAAAGGAAAAACAGTGTTATGAGGTCAGTGCATAAATTAATTTTGCCGAAGAAATGTATTTTCCGTGTCGGTGAGAACTGCGTTCGAAACCAAATATGAGCTCTCTAAGCCAGTCCGACAAAATAACGTAAATATAACGAAATGCAGTCTCATACATAAACTGGGTGTTTTGGCACTGCAGAAATTAACTTCCAGTGTGTAAATACGATATAAGCTACACTACTGCACTTGCCAAGTCAAAAACTTCTTAAATGTCATCACATGACTTAATCCAAAGAAACCTTCTCGGCTTTGGTCAATTCTAAACATAAATACATATTTGGATACTAATCATTATATTTATGAATAGTTCAAATAATTGATTGGAAATATACACTATATAAGTATATATAGACTACTAGTATGTAAGTATGAAGTGTTTAGATTAAAGTCTCCGAAACAATCATCGTATCGTAGGCGGCGCTATTTCTTCAAATTTGAGACTTACGTTATGCAAATAACGCCGGAAGTGATATCTAAGCATAACATTCGCAAACGAATGAAAGTCAGTCGTCTGATCTTGGTGGTTTCTCTGGATCTACGCGACCGGTTTCTTCACGTTGTCTACTATTATTTTTCTCACAGGATCTGTGCTCTGCATACCCTGACTTTCTGTTTAACAACTCTTTTCGCGTATTCGTTTTTAGGGATCGATAGGAGGTGAAATCGGTGGTAGCGTACTGGCACCGGTAGACTTACTAAACAGGACAACGTCTTTTCTCCTGAAACCTAAGCCACTGACACGTTATGGAGGTATACGACACGCACGATAAGGAAGTGGCGGATATTGTGGTAAGTCGTGTATAGTTTACGTTTGTTAACTGACTGATTTGTTTGTTGCTTTTTATTTCTTTTTTTCCTTACTTTTAATTTCTTCGCTTCGAAATAATTCGAGACGCCATTTTGAATGCATACTCTCATACTGGCCGGTAGTACTACATGTATTTATCAAATGCCCCGTTTAGAAGTACATCGTAAATACAGAGGAAACTCAGTAGTAGACAATAGTATGTTCACTTGTCAATGAGCTGTGGATGAACTCGAGAAATGCAACAGAGAAAAACAGTTCACAACATTGTGTGGAACAGGCTGTTACCGTGTTTTTTATTTCATAACTTGTGAACTGCTTTCATAAAAAAAGACGTTCACTATTGTGCTTTTGTATAACCCTGCAATGATTCACTATAGTCGTGTTTCTACTGCAAGTAATGGTATAGTCTCGACTATTTCTTGCCAAGACGTGCAAGAATTTATGCTTTATAATTTCCCTGAATATCTTCAAATACAATCCACTCATGTAATGTAATAATAATAATAAGAACTTTATTGCATCCTTAGAAGTACAAATGTTCTATTCGTTTACAGCAATAAATATACAAGTGATTCAAATAATATCAAAGTATGATAACGTGAAAAAAAAGAGTCAAGGTATTATATCCAAAGAAGGCTCATTTCTTAAAATGAATGATTTATGTAAAAGATCCCCTAAAAGTTTATTTATATTTCTGTCATTACCTTTCATTAAATATGTGAATTTTTGCAGGTTGGTAATGATTTTATTGGGGATTAAAATACTGGAAATAAAATGATTTCTATCTGTTTGATATCGTAATTCGTCTTCATCTTCCTGTAATGGGCATTGTTTACAAATTCTATTTTCTAATGGGGTTTTTGGATTGGTATGTCTGTATGAGAAACCATGAATGTACTAACAGTAGTACGTCCGTGGAGATACAGATTACTATAATTTACAATACAATGTACTGAATTAATTCAATAATTAATTTTTATCTGTGATGTAAAATAATTATGAAAGAAAAATATAAATATAAAGTATCTTCCTGTTTTTTGGATGTTGTAAAAATAAAACTGTGTTAACCCAATTGTTGTTTTCAGTTAAAATTAATTCTTTGCAGTTAAAAACAAGCAACCACCCTATGTAATAAGCATTTTAGGTAGTCTCTTTATATGCTATTAGACACTGTCCCTGTATCTGTAGTAAGAATGTGTGTAGTTTTGAATTTTGTGAGGCTGCCATAGTATTTCTGAATTATTTCTACTCAAAGACACCAAAAGAAGGTGAAATATACATGTACCCAGTAGGTACCAGTACACAAAATGTAGAATTTGTGGTGCAAAATGTGTTCTAAGAGTACATGTATGAGGAGAAATGAGGAGTATCAGAGAATGTGTTGTAACTGAATACTAGTACTAGTATTAAATTAACACTTTCACTAAGGGTGATTCACCCGTCAATCTTAATAATATTAATACATCCATGGTGTAACTAAGTTGATAATATACATACATGTAATTTACTTAATTTATCCTATTTATGAAGGTCTTTAATTGAGTGATGGAGTGTGTGCAATTAGAAAGAGCAAGGGAATTTCAGCACCCCATAGTGAAGTTTGTTTGCATGTGGAGTGATGCTCATAAAGTGGGAGGGGGGAGAGAAGTATTGTACTTACATGTACATGTAATAATACATAGAATGGATACAACATGAATAGTATACTAGTAAATTTCTATCATTACGTAGATTTTTACCTAAACCTCAAGACACATGTCAAGTTGCCTTGTTTATAACTGATGTGTTTTCTTTGTGTACCGGGATTTGGATGTAACATGTCTTTTTCGTGAGCATGTCTTTTTACCAAATTTAGCGAGAGAACTGATTCGCTAATTCAAGATGTCGCAAATAACTATTATAAATTCAAAATGACCACCTAACAAAATTCCCAAAAGTCCCAATATAAAAGGTCAATGTTCTGGATGTAACGCAGCAACGATATCCGCTTTTTCAAATCCCTGTTCAATCAGTTTTTTATCATTGCGAACAGAATCAAATTACACTTGACAGATTTTCTTCGTTTTTATGGAGGTGATAACATCGCATTTGTTTTGGCACGTGACAGACAAGTGAAAACAGGAAATTGGCAATGACAAGAGAGACTCACTAAATCGACATTTCGATATTACGTCATTTTACCAAAATCTTTATCATGAGTAATTGTAACATAACATAACTTGTATATATTTGGACCATGTACATTGTAGTTACCTAAAACATGACTAGAACTTGGTGGTACATGTAGCTGTTTACAACAGCTTGACTTAAATGGTACTAATAATAACTCCATTATTTAGTGCCTATTATTAAAAATCCAAATGCAGATTATTTGTAATTCTGTAAAAGAAAAACAGTTGGCTTGGAGAAATCAATCTTGTAAACATCTCTTGCTTGTGGTGTCACAGTCCCTCTAACGATATGCTAGCATGCAATGACAGAGGGACTGTCATACAAGCATTTAAGGTTTTCCGTGAAGCTCAACTAGTCAAGCAATGATCAAGCTTCTTTCAGTGTAGTGGAGTGTACATTTATTTTGCATTCTGTATACTGTAAAGGGGTTAATTATTCACTGGGTTTTGTTTTTTGCTCATTTCGCTGCCTGGAAAATGCACTAAATTAAAACCCAGTGAATATGTAAAAGTTAGCATAGAACAAATTATCTAAATGATAAAACTGTGAATTTAAAACCCACTGAATATGCCTGAAATGGTAAATCTGAAAAATTTAAACCCAGTGAAAATTAGTCATTTTACAGTACTGTAGAATACTTTATTTTCGCTATTTTCGCTGAAGGAATGATTCCGTGAAAATAAAATCCAGCGAATATACTTTTTTTCCTATATTTCACATTAAACTCATCAAAAATCAGTGAAAATAAATTCCATACAAAACGCCAAAAAAGCCTTTTCAGCGAAAATTTATTCCAGCTAAAATAAAGTATTCCACAGTATATGCTATTAGGACAAGGTATAGGATATTCCCATTCATCTCGCGTGTATTTTGAAATGAGATTAAAGGATATCCAAGAAGCAACCCCTCCGGGCCATAAATGTAGAGAGAAGCATAGTATTATTAGTTTCTAATTACCCCTCTAGGACTTTAAGTAGCTTAATTCTATTTTATTCTGTTCAATTGATTTTGTACGTTTCCGTTTTAGATTTTTAATGGTATACACTATAGTGTGTGCTTTGCTGATTTTTTTCAGACCATTTGAAGTGAATAAATATTGAATTCTTACATTTGTATAATGACCAATTTTAGATAATGTACGTTTGAGTTTGTATCCCCAGAACATTAATCTTCTGAAGCTTAATTATTCGGTCTAAATTATTTACGCTATTAAGTCTTTACTGTTCATTACATTAATTTTATTAGATTTAATGTGATCAGCTATAAACATAAGAAACCTTTTAAGGGTTACTGTAAACATTATTTCAAGGGAGCCAAATATTCTTCCATTCAGGAAAACCTCAAAATCGTATCCTTACAAATTGCAAAAAAATTTATAGAATCGAAAATAAAACTATTTACAATATTTTGTGAATTTATGTAATAAAATTATCAACATCAGTGCATATTGCTGTTAATCACCAATAAATGTTATTGAAAGTTGCATTCACTGAAAGGATTGCTAACTATATTATAAGATAAATACGTTATAGTGATTATATCCCTCTTGTCCGGCCCCACTGTCACACCTGCTTATGTGTATAAACTCTGTCCAAGATGATCGTGGAACTACTTAGCCTCAGGTGCCCATTATCTTCACAATCATGCGAATTGTCTGTATCGATTGTTAGATCTATTTATGCTACATTGTTATATTGTAAAGTAGAAAATATATGTTCTCTTCCATATTGTGGAAAAATCAATACATTTTAAAAATGAAAGACAAAGTGTAAATATAAATAATTCTTTGAAACAGCTCATTGTATTACAGACATTTGTGAAATTTCTGACATGAAGACCAGCTTTTTCCATTGAGGTAGTTTTATCATATACTTTAATACCATTTCCCATCACCACTCAATAAATAATCCAGACTGAGACATGACTGAGACTGAATAAAAGCTGCTAAAATGAATGTTCACATTACTGTCTTTACTTACTCAGTTTGCATTCTATTTTTGCCCTCTACTACATAATATTCTTAGTATTGTGTAAATGTCTTGGACATGCATGTACTGGGGCATGTTCTTTTGAGAAGAGTGATCACTCCACTTGCCTATCATACTCAGGACCCATGAGAGTTAATTATCACTCTTGCAATTCAGACTATTTTGTTGAGATTTTAATAGTATTAGCTCTCTTAATCACTCAGGTTACTGTGTTCAGGTGAACTATTTCGAGGTCATCTCCCTGATACCAAACTAGCACTGTGATTACAGCCACACAAAATAGCAAATTTCAGTTACCACACACTGCATTTTTATTAGTCCCCGTTCGGACAGATGTTTTGACCTCCGTGTGTGCGTCTGTGCGTGCGTCTGTGCGTGCGTCCGGACCTGTATCTTAGAAATGCCTGGACCAATCACAATCAAACTTCACACATACATCATACATGATATCATACATATGCACGTCAATTTGTTTCATGATCTGATTCAAGATGGCCGAATGGCGGCCATTTTTGTGCTAAAAATCATCAAAATCGAGCATTTCCCGGTTGTTTGCAGATGGATTTTGTTCAAACCTTGTATATACGTTGGACATTATAGGACCTTGATGCACATCATTTTGTTTTACGATCTGATTCAAGATGGCCGAATGGCGGCCATTTTTGTGCTAAAAAATCATAAAAAGCAACCATTTCTTGGCTGTTTACAGATGGTTTTTGCTCAAACTTGGTATATACATTAGACATTATGG